GGCCGCGCGGGAGGAGGCCGCGGCCCGGGGACGGGGGGCGCGGCGCCACGAGGCGCCCCCGAAGCGGGGACCCCGCGCGCTCCGCGAGCAGGCGGCTCCGGAGGGCCGCACCTGCCCGCTGCCCTCGCCGGGCGCTGTCACCGCGCTCCGCTAGACGGGAGAGAGATTAGGGCAGGAATCTCGGCTTTTAAATAYAACAGATCTTACATAATTGCACCATTTGATAGCTCAGGGTTTCGCTGACGGCCTTGGCTGCGCCGGGGGAGCCGCCTGGGCAGCGCGCGGTCCGCGCACGGATGGGGAGGCTGCAGCTTGGCGCGCGCGGGGCCAAGCTTAGCGCGGCTCCAGGGATCCCGCAGCCCCCAGACCCGCCGTGCGATCCCCATGAAGGGCTTTGGGCTGTTAAATGCATGCCATCTAAATCGGCTTACTGAATCACCTCCTCCATTGTCCTTTAGCGAAATGACATGTTTTAAAGACCACCGTTTATGTAACTGCTGGGATCTGTTGTCCCTGCTGCTCCTTCACCCTTCCCCAAGCGAAGCCTTTTGACATAATTCCAAGGAAAATAAGAATAACAGACCTAGTATCATAGGCCTGCCTTTTAAAAGTCTTTTTAAAACACAGATTTTTATCCCTCAGAGGATTATTTCTGAGCCACGTGACAATGCCCAGGCTTCTGTTTCCAACGCAGAGATACATGCTAAGAATAAAAGAGAAATACGTTTTTGAGAGCCAGCGAYGGCGGGCGCTGTGTGTGCCCGGAGCGGAGCGCGTCCCACCCAGCAAACCACGTTAGATCCCAACGTGGTCCTTGGTGCGGATTCTGCCCCGCACTGAATCACTCCCTGAAATCCAGGCTGCCAAACGCCGTCACCTGAGACAYGGATGAAAGCTGATAAATCCATGTGACGTTTTCTTTCTTTTTTTGCCCCTCCTGATGAACACAAAGAACTTTTCTTCATTGCAACTGAACCATCCCAACATGAGCAAACCGAAAGCTGAACCACCCCAAACGTTTCTGCCTGAATTGTGCCCAGGGACAAAGCAGGCAGAGCTCTGCRTGGAAGCAAGGGTGCTGTGCGCAGCCCTTAGTCGTATAACACTGGCTCTTCACCTCTTCCCTGACTGTCCATTTGTTTTAAAGAATAACAAGTTCCTTTCTCTCCCCTCAAAATGTTTTTTTTTTCCCCCCTCATTTCTTTTAAGGGTTGAGCAGTGCAATAGCAAAGATATTGAAACACAGTCTACTGAAAATTAACTCAATGATGAGGGTGCTGATTTGTTCCTTTTGAGTGCATGGCAGCATTAGCAACATCGCTGCTGGGATCTGGATTCYTACTGAGAGGGGTGTGAGGATGAAGAAACCTAGATTAAAAGTTGAACGGTAACAACCGGGGCATAAAACTGAAGCAAAACACCAGAGTGAGGTCCATGCTACAAGATCATGAAATGAGCAGAAATGCTATGCAATTAAGCTAAGCCCAGGAACTAATAATGGACTGTTATCTGTTTTCAACAAACGTTTGGCGTGGCTTACTCCTCCTGCTCACGTGAACGCTGCTGTGAACTGCTGTGTATTTTATTTGCAGGCTGCAGCCAGATGCAGCGTGACAGAGGTTAATGACCTACACAAGGACTCTTAGACGTGTATTTCAGTATGCGTAGTCATTCACCAAACCAGTGGAAGCTGACAAATCACTCTGTCTAGTTCCACTTCCTAGCAAACATATGAGGCCTTGGAAATTTATTTTGGCTACCCAGAAAAGCAGATTAAAGCAAGCACATTTATTTCATTTGTATCTGATGTCACATCTGAACATCAGTCTCCAGAGGTGATATATTAATGTCCTAAAGCGTCGCACCATCTGGTACCTCTTTTGATGTGCAGCATATGAATGCYTGGTTTAATCTCTCCGGGCTTCAGTAAATTATGTAAACATAGAGGCCTGGCAGTGGGAGATGGGTGCCATGAGGAGATGATTCAGTCATCAATATCTATTGGGTTTCCTTTTTGCTGCCATTACAATTCTTTCAGTTCTGCCTTTAAATTTTCTAAGTGCATTGTACTAAAAGCCGTAAGGTAGTTTTGGAATTTGCCCACCCTGAGATTAGCTATGATGAGGCTACCCTTTCCAACTGTGGAAAAGCCAACTGGGTTTTTTTTACAGGGTTGGCGATAAATCAGAAATAAATTATTTGTATATGTAACTGCTGGAAATGAGGTAAATCATGTTTCCTTTTTTTCTTTCTGGACAGGATAAGAGCACCTTGGAATAAATGTGACTACAAGATTTTGCACTGGCWACACCTGCCTTGGAAAGCCATGGCTGCTGCCCCTCATCTGAATTCRGATGCGCTCCGAGAGGTCCTGGAATGTCCCATTTGCATGGAATCCTTTACTGAGGAGCACCTGAGACCCAAGCTGTTGCACTGCGGGCACACGATCTGCAAACAATGCTTGGAGAAACTCCTGGCAAACAGCATTAATGGGATTCGATGCCCCTTTTGTATCAAAATCACACGGATCACAAATTTAGCTCAGCTGACTGACAATCTTACTGTTCTGAAAATCATAGACACCACAGGACTAGGGGAAGTGGTGGGTCTTCTCATGTGCAAGGTTTGTGGGAGAAGGTTGCCTAGACACTTTTGCAAGAGCTGTAGCTTGGTGTTATGTGAGCCCTGCAAGGAGACATCACACGTGCCCCAAGGGCACAGTGTCATTGCCATCAAAGAGGCTGCGGAAGAACGTAGGAGGGAGTTTGGGACAAGGCTTGCCAGGCTTCGGGAGCTCATGGGGGATCTGCAGAAAAGAAAAGCGTCTCTTGAGGGCGTCTCAAAAGACTTGCAATCAAGATACAAAGCTGTTCTGCAGGATTACAGCAAAGAAGAGCGCAAGATCCAGGAAGAATTGGCCAGGTCACGCAAGTTCTTCACCACCTCTTTGTCTGAGGTGGAGAAGGTAAATAATCAGGTAATGGAGGAACAAGCTTATCTGCTGAATTTAGCAGAAGTGCAGATATTGTCTCGCTGTGACTACTTTCTTGCCAAAATAAAGCAAGGAGATATAGCTCTCTTGGAGGAGGCAGCAGATGAGGAAGAACCAGAGCTGACCAACAGTCTCCCAAGGGAGCTGACTCTTCAAGAAGTTGAGCTCCTCAAGGTGAGCCACGTGGGACCACTGCAGATTGGGCAGGTGGTGAAAAAGCCTCGGACTGTTAACATGGAGGAATCGCTCATGGAAACTGCTGCGTCCTCATCGGCATCGTTTAGGGAGCCAGACTTGGTGCAGGAGGAAGCCAGCTGCACTCCCAATTCCTCCCCGGCAAAGCCAAGGATGCCCGAAGCAGCGGCCAGCATCCAGCAGTGTTACTTCATCAAGAAGATGGGCTCCAAGGGCAGCCTGCCCGGGATGTTCAATCTCCCTGTCAGCCTGCATGTCACTCTGCAAGGAGAGGTACTCGTTGCAGATCGGGGTAATTTCCGAATCCAGGTTTTCACCCGCAAAGGCTTTCTGAAGGAGATCCGCCGGAGCCCTAGTGGAATCGATAGCTTTGTATTAAGTTTCCTGGGAGCAGACTTACCCAATTTGACTCCCCTTTCTGTCACCATGAACTGCCACGGCCTGATCGGGGTGACTGACAGCTACGACAACTCTGTGAAGGTGTACACCATGGACGGCCACTGCGTGGCATGTCACCGCAGCCAGCTCAGCAAGCCCTGGGGCATCACGGCCCTGCCCTCGGGGCAGTTTGTGGTGACCGACGTGGAAGGGGGAAAACTCTGGTGTTTCACAGTAGACCGTGGCGTTGGGGTGGTCAAGTACAGCTGCTTATGCAGCGCGGTGCGCCCCAAGTTCGTTACCTGTGATGCTGAAGGGACTATATATTTTACTCAAGGGCTGGGACTCAACCTGGAAAACCGCCAGTACGAGCATCACTTGGAAGGAGGCTTTTCCATTGGCTCGGTGGGGCCAGACGGGCAGCTGGGGCGCCAGATTAGCCACTTCTTCTCGGAGAACGAGGACTTCAGGTGCATTGCTGGGATGTGCGTAGACGCCCGGGGAGACCTAATTGTTGCCGATAGCAGCCGTAAAGAAATTCTTCATTTTCCCAAAGGAGGCGGCTACAATATCTTAATCCGGGAAGGCCTCACATGCCCGGTTGGTATTGCCATTACTCCGAAAGGGCAGCTCTTAGTGCTTGACTGTTGGGATCACTGCATTAAGATCTACAGTTACCACCTGAGAAGATACTCCACTCCCTAAAGGCAATGCTGGAGGCAAAGCCCCTCTTGCCCTTCTACCCTCTTCCAGCCTCACTGCAATTTGACAGAAACCAATGTCAAAATTTTCAGGTAGATGATGCCATAACCCAAAAGGGTTTGGCCCAGAGGCCATCATATTTTGTGTTCAGAAGCAAAATAGCTTGTGTAGTGGTGTTCTGCATTTTTTAAATCAGTACGATAAAAAAGAGCAAGCAGGAGGAAGAGGACACTTTGGGGTTCTGTGTTAAATGACTAGTTACTCCGTAAACCTCTTCACCTTCTTAYGCCACATCTCCTACTTCAAGCTGCAACCGTTGCATCTTTCTTTGTGCCATAAAYGCTGACTGATTGCTCTAAATCACTTCCCTTAGAGGACTTAGAGAAGGATCCTCTTGCTGGGGTACTTGCAAGGAACTCAGTTGTCTGGGCAACCGCTAGAGAAAGCAATTTCCAGTTGTGGCACCGCATAAAACAAAATAGTCCTCCTAAACTGCACAGAGATGGAGCCCAGAGATGGAGCCTTCCTCTCAGACTGAACCGTGAGGTCTTCCTCTCCATGGCGTTCCGCGGATTGCCCGTCGTGCTGTTTGTGAACCCTGCCTGTTAACTGTGAAGCCAGCACAGTGCAATCATGGGAGACTGAGCCGAGCCCGGAAACTGCCCTCTGATGGCAATGGGATTGTTATTTCTATTAAGAGTTTGACTAGTTAAAAGGGGGTAAATTAAGGATGAGGGGAAAAAAAATAAGTATGGGAAACTACTGTTGGTATCCACGGGTGTTTTATTATTAAATGTATCTTAGAAACTGTCTTTGGAAGGCATGCTTGGTATCTGAAGTGTGGGAGGGGGGAGGAGAGGGAAGAGATGGGGGAGTGAGACTGGGAAATTGTAGTAAACAACATTAAATGCTATAATACACAGCGTCTCCACCTGCACTTCACTATCCCCCTTTCCAGCCCACTGCAGTTCCCGATAGGTTTGCACCAACCTGCACTTTGTATGTGAAAGCTACTTTAGCTTGATATGGGGATAGGAGGGATTTATCTTTTCTTTTTCTTTTATTTTTTTCTTAATACTTGGAAACCTTTTCATTGGTGCACTGCCTTTTTTTTTTTTCTCTTTGCACAGCAAAATGCTACATTCCTCATCTTCTTTTTAATGGCACCAGCAGGCACCAGAGTTCATGTTCATGATGGCTTTGGGCCAAATGAAGCACAAAACTGCAGCTGTGTGAACCAAGGCCCCCACAGTGCTGCTCTCCTGGCTGATAAACACGTACCTCAGTGTGGTGCTGCTCGCCTAGAATAGTTTATTGAAGAAAAGATGTGCTTAAATAGGACACAGTAGTAGAGTGTTAATCTGCCACAGATAATAGTTACGCTGCAGTGCATTTATTTGTTGCTATCAACAATGTAGTTGCAAATTTGGGGGCACCACAGACAATTTAAAAGCTGACTTTATAGTGGCTGCCAAGCTACGGTGAATTGTTTGCTGTTTGTGCTACCACCTATGTGCAATAGGTGATTTAAGATTTTTAGAATTATTTTCGGTGAAACAGCAATGTAAAAACAGGCTTCAGCCAATTGCTTGGCCCTTAGTTTCTGAAGGAGCACTGAGAGCAGAACCCTTTTGGGCCGGTTCTTATTCTCCCCCGCTCCTGTTCTATTCAGCTAAAAAGCAGAGCAGGGGCAGCACAAAGACCAGGCAGCCGTGTGGCCGGCTGCACCGTGACCAGGGGAACCTCCTGTTTCCGTGCTCTAAAGTGCTGGGAGAGGCTCGTGGTGCAGGTGCTGAGCCGGGATTAGTGGCACAGGAGATTGTGGAAGACACTGAGGGAGTCAAAGCAATTTTAAAAATCCCCCTTCTCCCCTGAGCTGCTGTGTGTATTTACCGAGGCTACCGTCTTCCATGTAACTATTGATAATTTCAGCTTCTCGCTGTTGGGGTGGGAGGGGGGTCGCCTAATGTTTCTAACAGCTTTGGGCAGCCGATTGCACCTCGTATGTGTGTTTTGGGGAGGTGACGACTATTACTGGGACCTTCTGCAGTTAATTATATTGTTACTCAAGGCGTTTTTCCAGTATTATGCTCATGGCTGTTTCTCTCCTTCTGATCTCCTTTAAAACATCTCTTCTGTTCTTAAGAACTGCTTCAAGCAGGAAGCTACCATGGACCTGAATAACTGCAGCAATATTATCTGTGATAATATGTACCTCTGTCATACTCTGTTCCAATGGAATTTTTTTTGCAATAAATGCCATGCTACCAGTAAGAGTGTTTCCTGGAGTGCTTAAACAGACACAAAGCTGGTGCAGCAAACAGGCTGTGCATCTGCTTACCCCAGATTATTGCTAGTTCCACAGTTTAAACAAAACCTCTGTCATCTGTTTCTTGCTCAGAGATTCAGAGAAAATAACATGACTTTGTGATGCATTTGTGGGCCAAGGTACTGGGACCGGTGCCTGCATGTATATACCAGCAGCTGTTCTCTGCTCTTGGGCTTGCGGCAGAAAGGGGAAAGAGGGGAAAAGCTGTTGTTATCCACGCAGGGTTTGCCCTTCCCGTGACAAAGGTGAGCAGTGACTGTGAGGTGGTTCTGTGGTGCTATATTTCTTGCCCCCTCCCACACATACTGCTGTGATCATCTGCCAAGTGAGATGAAGTGGGGTAATTAAGAATTGCCATGAAGTAGCTTGGCTGCTGCTCTTCCCCTGCAGAAGGAATGTGACCGGTTAAACGTATGTGGTTGATTTTTAAGGATTGTGTAATAAAGGAAATATTGATTCACTTAAAACTGCATTGCAAATGGCTCGTTTGGTTATTAAAACACTTCATCTCCACCCTTTGGTGGCAGATTGTTTTTTATGGCCAGTGGGAATTATACTTGCTAGCACCATAGCTACAAGACCTGTCAGGATGTGGGGGCTAAATCTGATCTCTTTGGCAGGTTTAACGTAACTTTGTYTAACACTTCTCTACCCACCTCATAAACAAATACTAGAGTTTCTTATATCCACTCACTGATAGTCCCATAAGGCCAATGCCTTCTTGCTGCAGCTGATACCTGATGATTGAAAGGCTTGGTCAAAATTCATTCTCACACAGCGCACTTGGTAAGCTTGGAAGCTGCGGTCAGGTTTGCAGTCCTCCCACATCACTGACTCATTTAGGTATTTTCTGGCTCACTTTTGACCCATCACAGAAGTGACATACTTTGTTAACAGAGTTCACAGGGCTAGTTACGAGAGTTCACCTATTACAGTGGATAATTTTGATAAATACTGCAAGAAATCTAGCTAGAAACAGCATATTTACGTGAAACCAAGGGAGAGCTAAACAATTTGCCACCCGTCTTTCAAAGACACCAGTCCGTCATCAATACACACAAGGTCTCCCCTTTTGCTGTTACCCAGCTCAGCTTGCTGATCTGGGCGCCGTGTTTTATTACTTGTGCTCATCTCGGATGATCTGGAGCAGCTCTTTAAGCAGCTGCGAGTTGCTAGTTTATCRCATGTATAGGAGCCTTGCAGAGCGACTGCGATGCCAGCACTGCCGTTTCAGGAGAGGGAGTCATTTCTCAGGGCAGAGGCAACCAAGCCCTGAATGTTTGTTCTGCTTTGAAATCAGCAGCCACAGGATAAGGGGGAGAGACTGCTTCTTAATCAAAGGGGGCAGAGCTACAAAAGTAAAAATAAAGCCAGATGCTTTGAATCTTTTCCATTGTATAACTTAAGTGATTTTTCTGGGTCATTACTCAATGTGAGGATTTAAAGTTATTTCATTTTGCACAACTAATTACTCTACTTGCATGGCAATTTTGGATTACAATGAACGGTGCATAAGGTCATTTAGCAGACTGTTTCACAGCACATATTTTAGTCTAAACTAAATTTCACAGCAACCAGCGAGATTGTTTTTTCCGCCTCTGTACAAAATGTCAAAATCTGAGGCTTTCAAATAAATATAATGATAGGAACCACATGCGGTAAGAGTGTTACAAAGGTAAAGTAGTCATTATTTATATGAAATCTCAAGGACAGTCAAATTCTATATGCTTCTGACCAAGCTGAGCAAGGCATAAGGGAAAGGAATGATCTCCTTTAATAGATGCAAAGCTTGCCTTAAAGCTGTCTTAATGCACCTGACTGCGTCTAGAAATTAGAAACTAAAGGTTCCCAAGGATTAGTTTAATCTTAATTCTGTTATGGTGGTACCAGACCTAGAGGGAGGTGAATTAGACCTTGAAAGGACAGAATGGTCCCATAGACCCTACTCTGCATAATACAGCCTGCTCCTTTATCACAGCTTGAGGTTGGATCCTTAGTATGGCATATGGCCTATATGTTTTTTAAAATTCTTTGTCTAAACTGCTGAGTTCACAAAGAAGCACCATAGCAGGGATGCTGTAACCTCTTAAAGCCATGTGACTGACTACATATGATCCAAGAGAATCAAATACAACTCTTCTGGGCAGACTGCTGGGCAGAAATCCTTGTCTAGCAGGACAGGACCAGTCACAGCCCCTCCATGGGCTATTCCAAGTATCTGTTACTGAGAGGGAACAGCTTTTACAGCTCTTGCACACTTCCCAAGCTCGGTTGGGTCCCAGCCTGGCCACAAAGCCTTGAGGCCAGGAAAACTCGAGAGGTCTGCTGCCCACAGGAAATGCAGGAAAACCAAACCAAACCAAGAGCTGCTCGCCGAGGACCTAACGGACTGGGCACCTGCACGGAGCGCGCGCTGAGCACAGATGCACTCCTGCGTCTGGGCTGAGACCKCGTCCTGCGTCCCAGTGTGGCACAGGGGAGACAGGCGCTCCTAAAGGACAGGAGAATTCTCAAAAATGCCCTTTTTCCAGATTTTCCCAGCTGGACAACAGAAGTCTCAGCCAGTCCACAGAGTGTGAAGGAAGAGCRCTCCCACTCAAACACCCAACGAGAGCCTCCGTGGTGCGGTTGGTAACTTCTCCCTTTTTTCCAYATGCAGGAGCACTTGGAGAGGGGARACACTTGTTCAGCATTTTGTGTGTCTGAGGGACGAGGGAGCCAGGGCGGCCGTTGCAGAGTCCTTATGGGACTGTCACATCCTGCTCTTGGAGCAGCGCTTCCCTTTCCCTAAGAAGGGCCCCCTCGCCCCGGGCCAGCCGGGCAGAGGGGCCACCCAGCGCAGAGGTCTCTCGCACCTTCGCCAGCGCAATGTGTTTGCCAGAGGGAGGGATCCTGCTCTTTCCTCCTGCTCTTTCCTCCTGCGCATTTTTGTGACAGCGTCTTAAATACCAGGGGAGGTGGTGCCRGCCATCGCATTCGCCCCGCCGTGGAATGAAGATGCTCACACGGTTGGTGCAAACTTAATGAGGTGCCACTAGCATCATGGACCAGTCTCAATGGGTGGGAAACCCGATGCAGCTCCAGTGAAACAGATCACTGGATGGGTCAATCCCAAGGTCCCTGCTCAGAGACCCCTCCCATGAGCTGCAGGGTTGTCAGGTGAYGCAGAGCTGGCCCTACAAAGGGGTCTTTTAATCATGTTAAATGAAAGAGCATTGGGGTTGCTCACCCGTGGGGTAGCGGTGTCTACAGGGGGYGCGGGGGACAACAAGCTTCCGGCCCGTGCGCAGGATGGAGCAGGGCACCACACACAACAGCCCGAAACATCCCCACGCCTCCAGGCACCTGACGCTTGGACAAACCTTTGGGAGGGCAGAGGCAGCTTTGTTCCCATCTGAGACCRGAGGGATGAGGGTGCCCCTAGCCCTGCGGGGAACACACATCCCTGGGAGCTGCACCCCTGGAGTCCCGGGTGCAGTTCTGGGCTCCCCAGTACAACAGGGAAGTGGAGCTTCTAGAGAGGGTCCAGCAGAGAGCAACAAAGATGATTAAAGGGCTGGAGCATCTATTGTATGAGGAAAGACTGAGTGAGCGAGCTGGGCCTGTTTAGCCTGGAGAACAGAAGATTGAGAGGGGATCTGATTAATATGGGTAAATACCTGAGGGGAGAATGCAGGGAGGATGGGGTCAAACTCTTCTTGGTGGTGGCCAGTGATGGGATAAGAGGAAATGGGTACAAATTAAAGCACAGAGAGTTCCATCTCTATATGAGGAACAACTTTATTACTGTGAGGGTGACAGAGCGCTGGAACAGGCTGCCCCGGAAGGTTGTGGAGTCTCCTTCTCTGGAGAACTTCCAAACCCGCCTGGATGCCACCCTGTGCCCCGTGCTCTGGGTGTCCCTGCTGGAGCAGGGGTTTGGACTAGAWGATCCCTAGAGGTCCCTTCCAACCTTAACCATTCTGTGATTCTGAGAACCAGATCCGTTTCCCCCTGGGTGGCTGAAGGGATCCACAATCAAACACCTCCTGCCCATGGCGCTCGCCTGTCCCGGTGGCCGAGAGCCAGCGGCCGGCCCGGCGCCTCACAAGGAGTCCGACAGCCGGTGGCGCAGTTGCACATCCGAGACGGTGTTTTCAATTACACTGCGCACTTTATTGGCAGAGGCCTCCTCCTGAGGCCTGCAGATTGATTTATGAAGTTGATTATAATATTAAAATAATTCTGTGCGATGCTGCGAACATGCCACAATGTGCATTTTTATCATTCTTGGTGCTRTTCCAATTAGCTCAAGACTCAGCCCCTCTCCCCCTCCTCTTTTGATCCGCTTTGTTCGCTAACAAATCGCAGTTATCCTGGCTTTATTTCTGTGTTTATTAGAGCTGATGCATATGTGCGTTCTCCACGCAGCTCTGAAATGGGCTGAATAGCRGCAGGGAGCACAAGGGGCCAGAGCTGTTTCTGGGTTAAGAAAGTATGCAGAACTGTCTAGCTAGATCTATTTATTCAGGCCCTCCTGTCACTGGTAAGCAGTGGGTACATTGGTGGAGAGCTGCGCATAAAACCCATCCATCTTCACCAACCAGCTTTTCTTTTTAGCTACCTGCAGTTTTCTTGAGGAGAGAACCCTGCCTTTCCTGCCACTGCCTTCTCCATCCGCAGAGCCACACAACCTCCTCCTAGATACTTCCTAGACGGCCTCACCATGTTTCCAGGAACACTGGAAAACACCATTTATAGCACTTGACCTCTCTGTGGTGCCAGCAGTCGCTCAGGTCAACCTCCTGCAGCCCCGTGATACAGATGGACTCATGCACTGGGAACGAGCACAGAAACAGCCCCTGGGGCATAGAGGTAGCACAGTCAGTATTTAAACRTACCCAGGGATCATGCACGAACTCCCTGGGTGGTTGCTGGACAGCCTATGGAGTCCCTTGGAGCTTCWCTCTCCAGCACTAAACAGAGCCAAAAAAGGAAACTATCTGGGTGGCGCAAAGCGAGCGAGACTCTGCTCCRCATATGGCTCCCTGCAGCACCACGAGCGATCGCTCCGGCACTCCAAGGAGCAAGGCTGGCCCTGGCAGGGGGCTCATACGTACCAGAGGTTTCACWAAAGGGTCAAGATGTAGCCGCTATTCCTCTCCACTCAGCCCTTGACACCATTGCACCAAGCTCAAACGGCACCAAAGTACCACTCATAGTACTTAGTCCCATCGCCAACAAAGTCCTCTCTCTTTCATACCCACCAATGCTGGAGTAATTCCGTTTCTCCAGYCCCTCTGGATTCAAATCAGCGACACCAGGAGCAGGAGCTGTCCTGAGCTTCCTCTGCACTGATGTGCTTGCAAACGGATGCCAAGGAACACATTTGAATGATCAGTAACAACCCCAGTACAGAAACCACACCCCTCCGCCACGTATCTCCTGCTGAATAAARCCATTGCTTTGGCAAACTTCATTTATCCTTATTTAAAGACAAAACAACCGAGGACGGGGTGTCATAAACAAGCTCACAAGACTAGCTGCGCTGGGTAGACAGTGAAAAAACAAGGGAAAAGCACSGAGGAGGCTGGCGGGTGCCTACTCAGCTCTGCTGAATTGCACTAAATGAGGCCATTCACAGCCGCACAGGCCAGGGGGGGTGAAAGTGCCTTCGCAGCCTCCGTTCCTGCCACTCCTACAATACGTCCTAAGCCCTGATGGAAACAGCAGAGTCGTTTTCAACTACAAAAAATACCCAGCCAAGGGAATATCCCAAGTTCCCTGGAGGAAGGAGATGAATTGGCAAATGGAAGGCTACGGCGATAAGGGAGTTTTTATAAACATAACCTAATTGTATTACTTCAAAGTCCTGAAGTTTATTGCCCTGTTTAATGATGTGTCTCGTTATTTATAGTGTAGCACAACGAGTCTGCTATTGATTTAATACACTTCCTTAAAGACCGTCATTGTCACAAGCAATAAAACGAAGCCATTCTGAGACAGCTCAATTATGTCACATCTATATAAACCGGCCCAAATCACTCAGGGTGCTCCAGGGCCATCGCAATGGGGCCGAGAAACGGCCAATGAGCTTCATGGTGCGTTGGCTTGGAAGTGGGAATGGCAGCTCCAGGCCTGCGGGCAACCTCGGAGCTGCCAGGGAAGGAGGAGGCTGCCGTGCGGGTGCTGCAAGGCAGCAATGGGATGGGACAGTTTGATGGATGCTGCCTATAGATCCCTTCCCACCAACAGGCACAACCATCTTGTACGCGCTGCCCAGAGAGAGTGGTGGAGCTGATGGAAACGAGCAGCATTTGTGTCTCTGCCTCCTTCCTCCGCACCGCTTACCTTTCTGGTACTGGAGCCAGAGCTGCTGCTGGACCTTCTTGCTGGGGAAGTGGATGGTGCAGCTGAACTCRGAGCCGTAAAGTGCCTCTGCGATGTAGTGGGAGCCAAACTGCTGGATGAAGGAGAGCAGCTCCTCCCGGCTGCTGTCCTTGCTCAGGATCTTGAGGATATTTGCAAACCCTGGAAGAGTAAAGTCTGGTTTGGAAGGTTGGCCAGGGAGGGCCAAAAGTGACAGCTCTGGGGAAAAAAAAAAAAGCCCCCAAAACACGGAATCACACAGAAACACAGAATGGTTGAGGTTGGAAGGGACCTCCAGAGATCATCTAGTCCAACCCCCTGCTCCAGCAGGGACACCTAGAGCAACTGGCACAGGGTGGCATCTAGGTGGGTTTGGAAGATCTCCAGAGAAGGAGAYTCCACAACCTCCCTGGGCAGCCTGTGCCAGGGCTCTGTCATCCTTACAGTAATGAAGTTGTTCCTCATATAAAAATGAAACTTCCAGTGTTTCACCTTGTACCCATTAACCCTTGTCCTGTCATTGGCCACCACTGAGAAGTTGGCCCCATCCTCTCTCCATTCTTCCCTCAGGTACTTATACATATTGATCAGTCTTCCCTGCTTAAAACACACATCCCTAAGTAGGTACAAAATGCTTTTCCTCCTCTGTTTCCTCAGGGGCTTACATCATCTTTTGCTAACCACAAAGTATGTTATTTTCCTCAGGCAGCTGCTTTCACATCRTCCTATGATTCCTCTTCACAAATAAATTGTCAGGGATGTACACATGAATGCAGGCATATACATATGCACACAAGCTCGGGCCTGTTATGCAGAATGCTCGGCCATAAATCAATGGTTTCAGCAGAGGACACGTTTGGCCTTTGTAATGCAAGGATCATAGCCAGAAAAGTTGTCCTGGTGTAAGGATGAATTCATTATAGATTGCACAGAAGACCAGCGCCAGTGTAAATACTCTGGACAACTGATATCTATTTTTAGAGCAGCTGGAGACAGYGCAGAGCGACTGGAGCCGTGGGGAAGACAGAGACTCCCTGGAAGCYCCAATACGGACGGGGCCGGGTGAGCTCTGCAGGGCCAGAGTGGCGTCACCAGCGTCTGCTGCAAACACCCGGCCATGCCCCCCAGCATGTGCAAGAGCCAGGGATGCTCCCACACTGGGACCACTGCTCTGTCAGGACCACCCATATAAGGGCCATGGCACAAGTATCTATCCCCACTGCTCTGCGGAAACMATCTGTCTCAGAGGCATTGGTGACTGCATGATGCCTTGGTATTACTTAGARCTGGCCAGTATCAAAGTTTTTGGTCCAGTCAGTGGTGAAACTGAAAACATATTGCAAGAAAACACATCATAGCTGTCACCAAAAGGAGGTTAACTGGCTGGTTCGTTGGCTGCTGTTTTGAAGGAAAAGCTTTTGTTGAACAAAAAGGATGAAAAATTCATCTTGAGCTGACCCAAAAGATTTTGTTCAATTCCAAGAGGGTTATTTCATTCTGGGGCTGTGCAGCCTGTTTGTATTAAATCCTTCCCTCCTCACCCCCCATTTAAAAATAGGTTGATTTCTAAATAAAAATGCTGTTTTGAAACAGAAAAGCAAAACATATCAGGTCACGACAAAATGTTTCAGCATTCCTAAAACAAAATGTGCAGTTACAGAAAGGTGGCAGTGAAATGTTGTGACGTTTGCAGAACCTGACCTCCCACCCCTTCTTCAGCTGCGACTTCTTCCTTCATATGACCCACATTTACAAATGGTTTGGGGGTCCTTTTGACATCCCACTATTCTGGAATTTACTCTCTGCTGTGCGTACATGTATAAAATCCTCGTAAGAATCCTTACCATAGTATTGTTCATCAGTGTAATCCACGTCACCCATGCAAGCCCCTCGCCCCAGTTTCCCTCCTAGAAGGAAGTGAAGTTTTCTCGTGCACCCGCAACAGGGCTGGCCACAGTGGCTGCCACTGGAGCAGAGCACGGAGATGCCAAGAGCCAGAGGAACTCTTTGAATGACCATGAGTTTGAGCATCTATTGCATGAGGAAAGACTAAGCGAGCTGTTTAGCCTAGAGAAGACTGAGGGGATCTGATCAATATTTATAAGTACTTGAGGAGAAAATGTAGGCAGAAAGGGGCCAAATCCTTCTTGGTGGTGGCCAGTAACAGGACAAGGGGTAATGGGTATAAATAAAAATACAGGAAGTTCTATCTCCACGTGAGGAAGAACTTCTTTACAGTGAGGGTGGCAGAGTCCTGGGACAGGCTGTCCAGGGAGGTTGTGGAGTCTCCTTCTCGGGAGAACTTCCAAACCTGCCTGGATGCCACCCTGTGCCCCATGCTCTGGGTGTCCCTGCAGGAGCAGGGAGGTTAGACTAGATGATTTCTAGAGGTCTCTTCCAACCTCAATCATCCTGTCATTTTGAGCYGTGACGCGGAGGCAGCAGTGGGAGGGGTGGTGACGAGAAGACAACCCGCCCACACGGATAGGTTGGGCTGCCTCTGTGAGAGATGCAGCYGCACGGCCCTCACCTGCAGAGAGGGTGATAGAGCTGAGCTTCACTCTGTACAGGTTGCTCCGGACCCTCCAGTGCTGCACCATGGGGTAGCCCATTGCCTCATCATACTTGATGTCTCCTGAAAAGACAAAGCCACGGCTCAAGGATGGTCAAGGGGACAGCCAGGCACTAACGTGCTCTAAGCAACGCTATTTCCCCACCATTTACAAACGTGCCGATAACAGGATCGTAACCTCCTCTCCCGGCTAGCAGGGATGGAGAGCGGCAGCCAGGGCACTGCTGTGGTTRAACTCACAGCAGCAGCACCGCAGGGCAGATGCACGTAGCTGATGCATGATTTCCACCTGGGAGGGCACTAAGATCCAGGGGGACCTGGGGCAGGGCTGGGCACGAGGATGGGAGATGGTGCATCGTCTCTCATGCTGCCTGTGGTGGCGGCTGAGCCCGGGGGCCCCCATGCRGTGCCTCGTACCAGTGAGAAGCTGGAGGTCGGGCAGGGGCTCCGAGAGGACGCCGCGGCACTGCTCCTCCACGGGCAAGGGGATCACGAGGAGGCCRTCGGCCAGCTGCGGGAAGTCCTTGATGAAGTTATTCTCCCTGCAGAGAGAAAAAGAAAACTCCAAAGCAACGATGCAGGCTGCGTCCAGGCAGAGCAGCTGAGCTGCCCTCAGCKCAGGGCCTGGTGGTCCCACGCTCGAAGCCTGGGACACTGCAGGCCTTGTAGCCCTTCGAGGGGCAACAAGCTCCCAGGGACTGCGGATGGGATGACCCGCTCTCTGAAAGCAGAAGCAGCTACGCTTGTAGACAGAGACTCCAAAAAGCCAAATAATGTTGTTTATGATGCAATTTTATTTTACCTGTGAGCAATTTCCTAATCTCAGCAGGAGTATAACAGCCCCCAGCACATTGCTTCAAGCACAGGGATGCTGGGGACACAGTTTGAAGTGTGAGCAGGCAGATCTCCAGGCACTGAGCTTCCTTGGTGCCAGCCAAAACAGAGCAGGGAAGGAATTTAAATATTGATCGTAGAGTCAAAATCCAGGGCAGCCGGCTCTGAGCACACYGCGTGCTCCACCACACAAAGCAGGATGTGCCTGCACCAGCAGGTCAACCCTAGGAGCACATGGGAGCCTCAGTGCTCGGCTGGAGAGCGCTGTCCCCAGTCCACCTGCTCTGTATCTCCCTAATGGCCGAGACTCCAGACAACCGCTGGCTTCGTCCCCCCTCTTCCTCTTCTTCAGCTGCCCACGTGTGCGCTCCTGAGTGTGCCTCGTGAGCTTCGCTTTAGGCACTGCCAGAGAAAAACTGGTTTATTTGTCTGAGGGGAAAAAACCTCTCGCTCACACAGGCGCTCGCAAATCTCCTATTGATCACGCGTCGCGCTGCATCCCCAGCGGCACGGCTGTGATTTGCTGCTCTGAGCCCTTCGCTGCCTTAGCGATGCAGATGGCAAAGCACAATCCCTGCGTGGCCTTGGGCTGCCTGGGCGGATGRAGGCAGGGGCTGCAGACCCAGCTGACTGGTGGGGAACACGGGCAGGAGGAGAGGGGGCTCTGCTGCTCTGCCTCGACAGACAGAGGGGAAAAAGAAAATAATGCTAAATTCCAGAGGCCAAGAAAAGCAAGATGCAGCACCACAAAATGAGAGGGTGCAGCGAACCCTCCAGGATTCTGCTCCACTGCCCCACCAGAGGATCGGGACCAACCCCTCTGTGGTGGGTCATTCCCACACTAATGCAAACCCAAGGGACAGGCAGGTCACACCAAAGGCCATCCAGGTGAGTACCTCTGGGAGCACCAGGAGGAGAGGCACAGAGAGGACAGCAGCACCTTCCTAGGCTCTCTCCCGGTTTACAACTATTTAAGAGTGTTGAGTCTGGCTGGTCCAAATACACACGAACTCAAAAGAGAAAGACTTGGCACCGCCAGGAGAGCTTCCTCAGAGCAGAGCAAAGCTGCAACAGCCCTGCTATGTGGCCAAAACACTCGATCCCTCCTGGAAATACCCACCAAATCTTGTGTTCTAATTCACAGTAGAGATTAGGTGATCATAGTGGATCATAGTGATCCAGCAGGGTATCCAAGCACAGGTGAGAGAAAAACTACCGCTCTTCCATCACGCCAAATGCATCCAGAGCGTTTCACGGACACTTGCCCATGCATGGGCTCAGCCTCCTGCTGCTCACAACTCCTGTGAGTGTGAGGTGCATTGCCCCGGTCCTTGTGTGCTCAGCCAGAGGAAGCTGGGCAAGAGCCCAGCTTGTTTGGGGGAGGTGGAAAAACAACAGCTGGAGTGGGAGGCAGTAGAGAAGGAGGGACCTGAGAGAAGCCCCACAAAGTCAGGTGTGAGGATGCTCTGCATGCAGTGGCTGCTAGTCAAAGCTGGTGCCTCTGTAAAAAGGTATTTACTGAAAAGCTGCTTGATGTAATAGCATTTGCCTAAAGAGCTCTGCAATCAAAAGGTTGGGGAAAAACAAGGGCCGAGTGCATGTACTTGCAAATAAAGGCCTGTGCGCACATCAGCGCACGTGCACGCATGTGTCCACAATATGCTGCTGTATTTGAACAAGCAGCGTTAAAAGATAGGACTTGAGGAGCAGCCTGACGACGCATTTCTGCTATCAAATCCTTTTTGCGTCTCCTCCTTCCCTTCTGCCAGCAGCTGCCTTCTCTCTTTGGTGGCAGGTCAGTGCTGTTCGCGTCCCTACTGCCAAACCACGCGCATGTGCTGCACACATGCCAGGCCTTGCAAACCCGAAATGAGCCCCAGGATAGCGGAGGGGAGGGAAACGTTGGATCTCTTTGCCTGGTGCAGGATAGTTGGSGGAGCAGCCCACGCAGCGCTGCCGACTGTCCCAGGCGTCTGCACTGCCTAGCTGCTGYTTGCGGGCAGGAGAAGGGAGCAGGGAGGCAGACGGGGACGACAAGGAGCGCGGCTCCGGCCAGGCTGTCCTTCGGGCAGCGCGGGCCCTGTGCTCCGGCCAGGCTATCCTTCGGGCAGCGCGGGCGCTGTGCTGCGGAGCCGCAGCCGGCAGAGGGCTGCAGCTCCTCTCGCACGGAGCCTGCACAGAGCCCGAGCTCGCAGCGAGGCCACGGCCGCGCTCTTGTGCCCTTGGGAAGCGCTGGGCAAAGCCCCCAAGCGCGCACACACACACACACACACACACACACACACACACACACACACACACGAGCTGTGCGTGAGGAGCGCCGACAAGAGGCAGGGATGCATGGGGATGGTGGCGAGGGCTCCAAACGGGCCGCCAGCGCAGCCCGTCCCCCATGGTGCGGATGTGTTTGCATGAAGTTTCATGCAGTTTCTGTGACCTTGCCATGAGCTGTGGAGCCGAGGCTATTCCAACGAGCTCCAGAGTACCCCAGATACCCCTCTGTTCTCAGCACCCGAGAACCACGCAGTAAGCACCCTCCTCTTCCTCTCTGCCCTCCAGCACCTCCTCGCTACTCACTGAGCAGGTGTCCGATACTCACACAAGTAACACGCTGCTGATCTGCAGTGCAATGCACACTGAATAAACTTGCTCCTGCTCATCCTCCTCCTTGAAGGGATCTGCAAGTCTCTAAGGGCATTTTACAGAGAGTGAGTTGTTATACACAGATATTTTTTTTTCCTCCCTGCCTGCTACAATCCCCAATAGCTGCTAATCCAGAACACTTCRTATCCTTGGGGATGAGCTGACTTGGGGATAAAGGAGTCAATGCCGAAAAAGGTCAAATGTCCCAAGGCTCCACTAACATCTCTTACTGGTAGAATGGGCTTAAGAGAAAGGCATTCTGCTGGATTAAACCGGGTTTAAAATCCTGGCTTTGACAGACACATTGTGTAACCATGGTCAAGACATAAAATCCAACCATTGCCTCCGGCGAAATGGAGATGATCACTCTCTCCTTCACTGAGGTGCTGATGGGGTAAAAGCAATTAGCAACTGCAAGGTGCTCAATTGCCAGCAGGAGAGGGGTCAGGCAAGAGGAGCCTGCTAGGTCAGCACCCTCCTGTCCTTCAAAAGCTTCATATGCAAAACTTGAGATTGTTTGGGGGAATCTGACCTTACATCATATACCCAAGGTCAGGCAATAAATTGCTGGAGCGTGGAGCTGCTTTGCTCTGCTCAGCAGGGCCCGCCTTGTGTCACATAGCTCAAGGAGAAGAGGGAAACCTCCAGAGGATGGTGAGAAGGGTCAGCATCCTGCAGACGTGTGCACAGGGACCAGGAGCAGCAGAGCTGCAGATCAGTACTGGAGCAACCGGCCTGGATGATGCTCACTCCAATAYGGGGGCTCCCCTAAGCCCTGGGGTCCTTTATCCACAGGCCTGGGCACTGAAGGCCAGAGCCAAAATTGCAGTGTCTGTGAGTGGGTTTTGGTCTGTGATAGCTCAAGTTGAGCTAGTGACGCGTATTCATTTCATTTTTGCATTTGCCTCACTAGTGGGGGAAGAAGCATTTCTCTCATGAGGCTCAGTCAGCTGTGGCTTCCTCCCTTCACATTACATCCTTGAAGGACACGTTCTAAAGGCTGGACTTCAGCCTGCCCTCCCTTCTACACATCCCTCTGCTCACCCCTAAGATTTCACCACACTATCAGAGCATCAGCCCAAGTGTGGCTTCCTGCCTCCATCAGCAGCCAACTGCGGATAAACACAATAGACGCTCTCCAGCATTCAGCAGCTAGGCAAATACAATCACAAAGGGGTAAAAAGAGAAAAAAAAAAAAAAAAAGAAAGAAAGAAAAATACAGAGAAAAAAAAGGAAAAAAGACCCCACAAGTGATTAGCTGATGGCCTGAACTGTGAGATTTAATTACCCTTATCTGAGCCAGCACAGCTACATATGTTAATCACATTATCATCCAGTGGGGTTATGTTCAGGAAAGCGGCTATGTGAGGATAGGACTTTTTGCATGGCTATCCTATTCATGTCTGTGATGACATCTTCTACAGCAAGAATAATTTATTAGTCTTCTTTCCATCCTGCAGTGGCCTGGGGAGAACAGGATGGGTTTGGGGTTGCCTCATTCATCATGCCCATTTTTGAAATAACCTTCCTTCCTGCTTTCTCACAGGGTGGCTGTAGGCTCAGAAGAGCCCAGCTTGTATCTGACATAGGAACATTCATGAACAGCCTCCTCCTTATAAGGTACAATCACAAAATAAAAAAACTGATCTAGAGTCATAAGGAGACAGTAAAAAGTGGGTGTCCTACTTCCACAGCCACTTTGGAAAAGGTAAGCACACTGCAAATCTCACCCAAGATTTTGTCTCTGTGACCTCAGGCACTAGTGAATTATAAAGGCTGAACTCACACCATGTGAAGTAGCCATTACTTATGCCAAATTTACTAGTCATTAATTTTAGTGAGTCCCCGCTCCTATATAATGTGGCAGCATAAAAAGAGACTAACCAGTCTCCACCAGGCCCTTTAGTCCTGCCTAGCTCCCCAGCTGAACAGCCTCACTCTGCAATGACGATCAGATCAGGCTGGAGGAGCATTGCCCCTGTCGGCTCCTTTAGGGCGAGCAGGAGATGCGACTCTCCATGTGCGGATGAAAATTCGGCCAGCCCAGAGCTGCTAAACCCAGCTC